TCGGATGACAGGTGGGAATTTGGGTTTTACTCTAAACAGACAAAAATGAGCGACAACGTTCATCTTAGTTTAGCAAACGCGGGTAAAGACGGCCAAAACTCGGCAGCCGCGGACAGCAACGACCAGGACCAGGAGAGCTTCCCGTACGACGCGGAAGATCCGGGCGAAGAGAGCGACGCGCCGGAGGCGAAAGACGGCGCGGTCAGTCCGGAGGAGCTCAACGACGACGAGACGTCCGGAGAGAGCGAGAACGTGCCCAAGACCTGCATCTATGACGGCTGCACCGAGACCACGACGCAGGTGGCCAAAGCCAGGAAGCCCTGGATGTGCAAAAAACACCGGAATAAAATGTACAAGGACAAGTACAAGAAAAAGAAAAGCGACCAGGCCATGTCGTCGGGAAAACTAGAAGTAAGAAATGTTCATTTGGGATAAATGACAGCTTCAGTTGATGCATTAAATTATCTTTTATCCCAACTTTCTAGGCTTATTTCAAATAATTTTATTTGTTCGTGATGTGAAGGAGAGTTCGGAGGAGAGGCCTGTATCTGTTACTAAACAACGGCTGGGTACCATAGGAGACAGACCCGCCAGACCGTCCCTCATTGAGCAGGTGCTGAACCAGAAGAGACTGGTAAGAGCATTAAACACTTTTTTGGGTTTTTGTAATATAGTAATCATTAGTTTTAGTCATATACTCCCTATTGACAGAATGCCATGGGTGCAGGGAAGAATTCTTTTAGTGTTATCTATATACTATTATTACAGTTTACTATAATAGTTTTTATTACTATTCTGACTTGTTTTTATATTTTTGTAGTTGAATGAAATCTTATTTTAAAGTTGTACCTTTTATTTGTTTCCAGTTAGTAATTTTAGCACTTAAACTTAAACCTACTTAATTTAATTACCAAGGCCACATTTACTAATTACTGACAAAAATACTTTCATCGTTTTAAGTTTTTCATCTAATATCTGTGTTCCTTTATTTCAGTTTTATTTCAATTAACAAACATTTTTAATAGTATTAGTTTTAGTTAATGATAATGTGCAGAGGTGTGTGGTTATTAGAGTAGTTAATTCATAATTCATGTAGTTAGTCATGTGTGGAATTTGAATTAAGTTTTTTTTTTTCTTTTTATAAATCAGTCTGTCATACATACATATGTTATACAAGGCATTAGGGACAAAAAAAATCACAAAAATGTTATATTATATGCAATGCAAAATAAATATATATAAATAATAAATAAATACCTTTTTTTGAAAGTTCATTAGTT